CCTGCTGGTTTTGAATATTTCCTCTGAAAAGAGCACTCTTTGGCTAGGCATCATTTTAGTGCTTTTTTCTACCTGCTTTCTGCTTTGGCTTATTTAGTTTGGAAAATGAACATGTTGTTAGGAAAGATCTGTTAACTAGGGTGCTTTTGTAAAAGAGCACTAAGCCTGTCCTAACATGCCTTAAAGAGAAAGAAAAGCCCAATGTATGTTACAGGAAGTGCAGATGTCCTGTATAGATATGAGTCCATTCAAACATACACAACCAAACCAATGAAATAAAGATGGCAGTAACGGATTAATTAAGAATCCAATCTGATTCATATAATTTAGGAGGCTCCAGCAATGTGGAATGTGGATCTTGATGTAATTGTGTATCTGCAGATGCACTGGAAAAATTTAAAAAAATAATAATACAGGAGCTTTGAGAGGAGTTTGATTTCAATTAGAGGAAGAACTTTGAAAGTATGAGGCTTGATGGCCTGAGCTTTGTCTTCTGTAGACTGAAAATTGGAAGACGCGGTTTTGTTCTGAGGATGAGAATCCCATCAGCTGTCTTGTTTATAAAACAGTTTAGGTGGCCATTTCAGGGCAAAATCCCAATCAAACTTTATTTTGCTTTAAACTATGAACCTATGATAAATTATTCAATCAAAAAAAATGTGAAGAATTGGTGTTTTAGAACTTTTGAGAACATCTTAAAATGAAGGAAACCGATATACCAGTAAAATAGCATTTGCATTTATTTGTTTCTCATGCTAAATGTCAAATATCTAGGATGTTTCATTGTTGGTGTAGGAGTATGCAATCTTTCAAAGCACAAAACAGTTTTGAGACTCAAGTTGGAAGATTACACTATGATTACTGGTAGTGTGGGCAAAGTGTAAAGAAATAAATACTAAAACAGTTGTGGATGATAAAATGATGAAATAAGACAGACAAAACTGAAAGTTTGACACTTTCAGTAAGTTGCACTTTTCATGGACACTGTTTACTTCTAGCATGTATATACTCATTGCAAAATGGAACAGCGCTTGTCAGTTTCTGAATGTGAATCTATACTTATGTCCTTCCTTAATTCCAAATTGTTGGAGCAGGTCGACTATAACTTCTGTTTACTTTCAAATCCCTTTCAGTCATAGTAAATTGGAAGTGATTGTAATAGACAGTAAACAAAGAGCCACAATTAGAATGGAAGTTCTATTCCATTTTAACCGAGCACCTGTTAAGCCCCCCTTCCCAGTATTTTTTATGGGCCAATCACTGTCCATCATCCACCAGAGACAGAATTTTAAAAGGATAAACAATTTAAAGTAAATTTTGTGTGCTGCTTGCTGAAGGTAGCTAGAGATTATAGTATCCATCAAATAGCAGCCTACATCAGCAGAGAATGGTGTGATCTTAAACTAGCAAAAACTGCAATAGCTTTGTTGATATCAGTATTCTTGGCAGCTTCATGGTCCAAGGCCAACAGCAGGTGATCACTTCAGCGTCCATCACACACAGTGATTCTTACAGTATATAATCCCTAATTCACTTCACCACAAAGAAGGATCTTTCATTTGATGCTGCAGAAACTGGTAAATTTAACACAATGTCTGTTATTGACAGTGCAGGATGATAAACTCCTAATATATTGTTTGGATCCTGCCTCTAAATGGCATTGATGTAAAGTGCAAATTTCTTGGCTTTCTCTTGACTTTTAACTCTGCAATTCTGTACACACAGACATGGGAGTGAGCCCATTGAACTCTTACTTCTATATGTATAGGAATGTAGTGTAAATGTTTGAGGGCTTTGTTACAAAATATCTAAAATTAAATATCTCAGGAGCAGCAGAGCTTCGTATATTAAGAAAATTTAAAAGAACCAACAATTTCAAATAAATGGCGCTACAAACTGAGGAAACTGGTATTTCAGATGGGTATGAAACTGCAATTTATAAAGCATGCTTACAACCTCCCAAATCAATTTCCCCCCAGTGGAATTTTATCCATGTAAGTGCCAACTTTACTATTCACTCACATCAGCATGTACATTTAGACAGTACATTTATACAAGGAGCTAAATATCTAATAGCTGATCCGCATCCCATTTAAGTCAAAGTACTTGGCATTTAGCCGATTCATGTACTGCAACTTCAATGGAACTGAATCAGCTTAAATGTGAACACTTTTCTGAGTTGGGTGGATTTGGCTGAAAGATGCAAGCAAAATATTTTGCACAAACCAGCAAACCCCTATCCTTTTGTCTTAGATTGCAGCTTATCATTGTATTATCTCGGTGTCTTCAATATCTAACTGATTAGCCATGGGAAATTATATCACTGAATGTTGTGGAGTTTCTTGCTCTATTATCTTTCCAGACTAAAAGCAACAACCGTGTTAAACAATAATAGTAGGGCTGTGCACCAGATTTGGACAAGGCCCAAGCCAAAGTTGGCCTATTCAGAAAGAGCTGGGTGTTGGTCAAGGTGAGTTGAGACAGTCAAACATCATTACAGGTCAAGTTGGATGGTCAGAGCAGTGGTGGCCCGCGGACTCCAGGGGGTCGACATAACCCACCCAGGGGGCCCGTGGCACCATTCACATAACAAAAACTACAATAAAGATGCCAAAATTTTCAGAAGTAGGGCACTCAATTGCTTGGCTTTTGAAAAACAGGGGGTCCGCAATACTTAGCTAACTGGGAACTACTGGGCAGGGAATCAGGCAGGAAGGAGAGGCATGCATCACTCTGGAAAACCATTGAAAAGGTGAAGACCTACCTGACTGCCAGTTGCCTCTTCCCAGGAGAAGGAAGGAGCTGGACACCACCTGCCACGCCTTCCTGCCAGACACTCCTCTACACAGGATTGCTGCCTCTGCTCCGCTATGGAAAGGAAGCAGCTATCCTGCGAGGTGCAGAGTGCAACGTTCCCTGCAGACTTGTGAAAGAGCAGCTTGCAGAATTGAACCTCCCTATTTTTTGGAGAGGAGGTGGGGGAGAAGGGGACACAACAATGCATTATATAATCCTCGCCACTGTTGTTGCTATGCTTTATATATACACTTCATTTAAAAGTTCAAAGAATCATTTGTCTGATTGGCCTCTAGTAGAAATCAGCGTCGCCGGTCCCATGCTATGGACCATTCATCCAGCAAAGATTTAGTAGGCGTCATTACTTTTGACTTTCAGACATCTCCTGAAGACCTTTAAAAAAATAAAAAAATAAAATTATAGCAAACCTTTATAGCTGTTAATTTTTATTTTTGACTTGGGGCTCTTGCCCCTGCTCACTCCAGGTTGATTACCAACCCTGCCTACCTCCTCCCAAAGCCACCACTTCATCTTACTCCTTGCCAAAGCCATGCCTCCTTCTCTCTTCCCCAAATATACCTCCCGTCTGCCCTCACCCCCTGCCAAAGCCACCCCTGCCCCCTAAAGCCTGCCAAGCCACCCTCCTCTTCCTCCATAGCTCACAAACCCTCCTCTCTTCCCCTTATACCTTGCCAAACTTGCCACTCCCTCTGCTTAGACCAGGAGTGGGGAACCTTTCATATAAGGATCTGTCCCCTCTTCATGGGGCCACCTTCCACAGATTACATGTCTGTTTGCACCTCAGCAAAAGGTTTACGCAGACATGACCCTAGGATCTCCCATATTTTTTTCCATACTAACACTCTTCCAATCTCATTTAGCTTCTACTGTGCCATCATCATGAAAACACTGACATGGGAAACTCTATATTTCATTACAGTTTCTCCGAGTGTTCCATAATCTAGTCTCAAAATATTTGTTCACAGTTTTCTACTTTCCTGCAGGCACGCTGTCAGTAAATCATATCTGTCTAAATAAAATGATAGCATTTCCCAGTGAGAAATTCCAGGTTAGATGAAATTTCATTTTGGGGTTAGGAAAGTATTTCTTGTGTGTTGCAATCACAAAAGTAGGGTCTTTCTCCCTCTTTTAAAAATATGTATGGTTCTTGTAGCTAGGGAGAAAGATAATTCACACACCGCTCTCCACTGTTTTGCATTTAAAATGATGGAGATGGGAAATAATTTTTGGCTTGCAGGAAGTGAGTGCTCCTTTTGTAAATGACTGGGAAAGCTATTTCAAAAGAAGTGCTTTGCTTTGAATGAAGAAAGGAAAAGAGGTGCACCAGGAGGGAATGTTGATAACTAGGCATCTTTGAAAGTTAGGGGGTAGGAATCTGCAAAGGGATTATTATCCCCAGTGTAGGGGCAGTCCAAACTGTTCTTGACAGATTGGCAATGGTCTCTCTTAAGAACAGCATTCTGAACCGCAAATAAATATGTAAGATATGCCATGCTGGGTCGACCCAATGATCCATCTAGCTTAACATCCTGTCTACAAAGAGTATGCAGACAACTGTATTGTGAAGCTTCACAAACAGGAAATGATGGTGGTAGCCATCTCCTAGTTTTAATTCCCAGCACCTGTGATTAGAGGTCTACTGTCATTGAAGGTTTTGCTTTTTGGCTGTCATGCTTATCTGCTGTTTATTGATCTAATCCATTTTTAGAAGTGTTGCATTTTAGCTTTTATGGCAAGGAGTTACAGAGTGTTGCTGCGGATTCCTCGGCAGCTAGCTTGGTAATTGTGCTCTCAATTTATTACTATTTATTTATGTCCTACCCTTCCTTCTGAAGGAGCCCAGAGCAGCCTTTGAGTTAGGGTTTGAACTAGGGTTACCCAACTGAACATCCTTGTTCTGAACCATCTTTGGGAACCAAAAGGATAAGGGATGCAAACTGGTATTTGTAATCAGGCTGTAAAAGCAGCTTTTGGGTGGGTGAGGCCTGGCATAAAAACTTGACATATGGCATTGGCCTTGCCTGGCCAGTGGAGCAGTACTTGGGTCTGTGATGCCCATCATTCTGCTGTTTCCATTTTATCCACATTCCATGTTTCTAGGTTCAGTATGGATCATAGAACTGTAGAGTTTGAAGGGACCATGAGTGTCATCTAGCCCAATGCCCTGTAATGCAGGAATATTTTGCCCAACATGGGGCTTGAACCCACAACCCTGAGATTAAGTCTCATGCTGTACTGACTGAGCTATCAGGATGTCTGCAGCCCTCTTTAGATTTTAGCAGATGTTATGAATGGAAGAGCTACTTCCTTGTAGAACGAATTAAGGCTCATTGTAACAGTGCATGTTCATTTCTTTTCTGGTAGAATTTAATGTTTTCAATATCAGCCAGCAGCTTTCCTTCACCTCCTCTTGTGGCAAGAGGTTGTTTAAAGCATCTGCTTAAAGATCTGATGTGAATCAGAATATTGTAAGATGCTTAATGCAAACAAGCCAGGGAAGAAACAGGCTTATTTTGGCCCTATAGGTAGTGGTTAGAACAATGAGCCCGCCCCAAGCAGACTTTTCTTGATATGCATTCAAATGATGGCACTGAAGCACTTCCAGAGATAATGCGATTCAGCTGTAACTTGTGTGCTGCTTTGAAAGGGAGCCACATCAGCACAGCAAGACCATTGTGCTCCATGAAGTCTATCAGACTCCACTAACTCGTCTTTCTCTTGGCCCTGTTCTTTCTCTGCTGTTTTGAAGACATTTGTAATTACAGCTGAGAAAAGATGTATAACTCCTTAGACAGGATAAATACTTCCTGCTCTCTGTGTGGCAAGCTGTGCATTAGACTGTGAGACGGACAGGGAACATACTACAAATGGTTGGTTCTTTTCTCTCCGCCTTATTCAAGCTAGCTCTCTGGATCAGAGTCCACTTAAGGCAAAAATGCCATAATTATACCCAGCAACCATATACAGTAGGCCTATAATTGAGATTAGGTTTCAATCACTACAATTTCTGAATCAAGATTATTGAAAGGGATTCAGTAGGCTTTCCAGGAAGAAATGATGCAGATGTGTTTCCCAGAATATTTCCTTTCTTGGAAGAAAACAAGATAAACATAATAGTTTTCTTTCTTTTTTCAGATGACAATAGACTAAAAGGAATATTACAATGGAAGAATATATATAGAGATGTACATACACACACGCTCTCTCTATCTCACACTCACACACACACACACACACACACACACTATATTAGGGATGGGCAAATCTGTTAGTTTCATTTTCTACAAGCTGGTAATTTCTCAAGTCTTAAATTCAAATTACCTCACTTCTGCCCCGCTTTGATTCCCCCCGCCCCCATGTCCACACAATTTTTCTTTTCATGTCCACACATTTCCTGTAATATACAGGTTTGGGTACACAGTTTTCCAAATGTACATTTTTTGCATGCAGGTTTTCCCTGATACAATGCATTTTTCTATACGAATTTCACAAATACATGCGCTTTTGTGTGCACTTTTCTCTAAGATACACATTTCTATAGACTTCTTTGGCTGTAGAATTAATAGCAAAACTCCTAAGTGTAAATTGTGAAGGGTGCTTAGGTTTCAGTTCACATACTGGTTTGAACTAAAATATAAACCAAATGAATTAATCTCCATCCCTATTATATAAGCATATTTTAATTAGCAGGAACAGATGGGAACCTCTTGTTCAAAACTTAGAAAGTTTGAAAGAATATGCTATATGACATTTCTACAAACACACACACACACACACACACAGAAAACAAGCAAACAAAAAGCCTGTATAATAAAAGTTGAACCATTAAGCAGAATGTATTCTACAACTGGAGTTCCCAAACTGTGGTCTGTGGACCACCAGTGGTTTGCGAACTTCATTCAGGTGGAACATCCACATTAAACATTCACATTGATATTTAAGTGTATGTTCATTACTTCTACTATGTTTATATTGTATTGATTGCATTACAATTTGAATTCTATAGAATTTAAACTGTAATGCAAACAAATACAATATAAGCTATAAAGAAAGCAAAACAACAAGAACAATTAAACATCATACAACACCTGGCACAGCACATTATAATTGCTGCAACTGGCAGAAGAAAAACATTAAGTGTCCCACCCACCAAGGCAAGACCATCAGCAATTGTCAAGTGGTCGGGAAGGGGAAGTCTGAGAACCACTGTCCTTCAACTTTACTTCTAGAAACTTAATGTATTTTGCAAATGCATTGAGATTTCTAGCTAGGTTTACGGGTTCCTTTCATGCCAATAAATCCACATGCATACATTCAAGTAGGTGTGAGATATAATTGGAAAAACACTATTTCAATTATTAATCATTCATTTTAAGAAGGCATTGTTAACATATCCAGCAGTATTATTTTACTTTGTAAAATGCAATTATATTATCAAAGGTGCCATGATAAATATGGCATCCTGTAGATACATGATGGAAATGGTAACCTGAAGAGCATAGGTACCCTTCTGCAGCACAAAAAGGAAATATAATCAAGAGCAAAGAATACATTGTTATTTAAAATTTAAATGTTGACCTTCACCTTACTATCGAAGACTAGACATTTGCAAACCTAGTTAAAGGAACTCTGTTTTTTATTTCACAGAAAATCTCCATAGAAATTCAGATTGCAGAGGGGACCCATTGCATATCCCTCCCATCTTGTATGGGCTATTTCTTTGCCACCAGCCCCCCAGCTCACATTCCTAGAATGAAGACATGAGACAATAACTGGGGTGTAAAGGTTACAATTTTATTTAACTTACAAAAGGACTGTAAAATGTTAGAAAAACCCTATTCCCTACCTATACAAAGCTACATATGCTAGAGTTCCCTGGAAAGACAGATTGGTGCTTAAACTGCTCTGATAATTTTAGCTCTCTTAGCGGAAGAGGGGTCTCCTAACACCTCTCAGCACCTTTAACAAACTACAGTTCCCAGTATTTATTTTTTTTTGGGGGGGGGGAGAATCTATGACTGTTTACAGTGGTATGATCTTGCGTTGCATGTACAGTACAGTACAGATGGAGACTTGGTTGCACATCACAGTTGGGGAAGGGCTTCAGAATGGGCAGCAATACATTGACAGTACTGGATTCTCATTATACAGTTTATAATTATATAGAATATAAGATAGCATTCCTTCCTATTTATTACAGTTAATTTTTCTTCCAAGTGTTTACTGCCTAAAGCGTTTTGAAAAGCTTAATCACTTCCTTTAATATTTGAAAAATAGCAACTTAAAATTGGTTGGCTGATCCATATTTCAAACGCGCAGCTACAAAATGTTGACATTGGGATTTGAGGTTCATAAATCTTCAGTTTTACGCATTCTCAATAACAGCCAGTCTCTCCAAAGCAGATATTTAGTCTACTTCTTGAAAAATGCACTGTGACAAATTCTGGCATGTTCTGAGACCCCAAGTTTCCCCTTTGTCATTTTATATTCTCCTTAGTGAAGAAACAGTAGGATTCAAGCAAAAATTATAGCTTTAAACATTATCTGCCATTGAGCCCCAAAACTTTAGTTGCTTAATTAGACAAGTAGCATACTTAAGCTAGCTTTATACAATTATATAATGTGACACCACATTAGACTGCCATGGCAGAGCAGGAAAATTATTTAGGAAATGCCTCCTAAATCATCAGATATCTGGTTGGAGGTACTGGAATTATTATATACTCACTTGACCTTTAACTCCTTCAGCCCCGTGATAATGGCTTACTTTTGCATCACACACAGCTCTTAGCCTCTGCCTCTATGTTTGCTGCTTGACAACCATATTGGTTGTCAACCAATTGCTGCTTGACAACCATATGTCAGGAGTGCTCTGATGGTGTTTCCTGCTTGACAGGGGGTTGGACTCGATGGCCCTTGTGGTCTCTTCCAACTCTATGATTCTATGATTCTATGTTTTAATTCACACAAGCAGCAATTGAGCTACAGTGACCCATGCTCTGCTAGCCTCCCAGTTGGCTTTCTGCAATGTGTTGTATGTGGGGCTGCCTTTGGTGATGACTCAGTTAACTGGAGTTCAGAATTCGTCTGCTGGAATTATGCCTGGTTTAACTATGTGAGGTCATATTATAGCAATTCTGTAAGTATAACATTGGCTTCAAATTCATATATGAGACTAATTAAAAGTCTTGGTGCTTATTTTTAAATCCCTAAATGGTTTGTTTGAATGCATATGCCACAAGGAGCACTTCTGACCATACACTTCTGACCATACCACATCTGTTTGTCCTTTAAGATCTTGCAGAATGAAGTTTTGCATACAATCATAGAATTGTATGGGACCACAAGTGTCATCTAGTCCAATCCCTTGTAATGCAGGAACCTTTTGCTCAATGTGAAGTTCGAAACCAAAACTCTGAGATTAAGAGTCTCATGCTCTACTGTTAGGTAGATTTTATTGCTTTATTGTTCGGCGTCCAGCATGCTTCCCCCTGCGAGCCTCTGCAGGTCGTAAAGCAATTAGCAAATAGCAAAGTTGCACAGCGGTCGTGTGTTTGAAAGAGCAGTGAAAGTCCCACACGTTTCTTCTGTCCTAATATCACTTTATTTGCTCAAAAGTAGCATATTTACAATCGAGAACTTCCATCTGATTTAAGCTGCATCTTCTCCCTCTGTTTGCAGCTGCGCAACAAAACTGCTTTCACTTTGCACTCAGCTCACAGCATTCCAAGCTGCTTTCGTCATGTCCTGGCTTACTTCCCTTGTAAGCGCCTCCCCTCAGCCTCGAGACACAGAAGGTTAACCCTTCACTACACCCAACATCTACCAATTGAGCTCCCCCATTTCTTCAAGAACTGTTAATTGGGAGAGCTTCTTTTCTATCATGGTGCTTTGGAATATCTTAGCACACTAGGTTAATAGAGAACTAATACATGCAATAAATAAATAATAGACCAATTCTCAGGCTTTATCAAATAATTCTAGAATTTTCCAGTTGGCCATTATCTCCAAGCAATAATTGGTAAACTGGTTCAAGTGTAGTGTAGACAAAGCCTTCATCCCCTTTGCCTAGCTTTAAAAAAGATGTACCAGTATATTTTTTCAGATTTCCTTGCATAATCTGACTATGCTATAATTATATAATTGGGGTGTGCACAAACCACAAGATTTGTATCTTTGTATCTGTAGTGTTTGAAAGCTGCTTGAACTGCTTCAGATCCACTCTGATGAATTCATGATTTGGATCCAAATCTG